GGGTTACAGCCTTGAAAAAAAAAAAAAAACTAAATATACATATGGACGCTTTGGTCGCCGCCTAGATCGCCTAAGGCTAACTTCACAGCCGTTTGGAGCACCCCAGGCAGTGCTAGACGGTACCCAATTTCCCGAGCGTCTCCGCCTACATGAAAATCGAGGCGCCTGGGTGCCGCCTAGACGGGTGCCTATCCAACTTTTAGAGCATGTACAGATCATGATTGCTCGAATTACGTACATCACTTTTTTAAATGTAGTACAGACAGCAGAGATTAAATTCATAGTTTAGGGGATATATATATGGTTCAATGATTTAGTGTAACTTAGTCCTTATAGTATTACAAACTCCCACAGGAGAGTATTATTTATTTACTTGGAACATATATACCTCAATCTTGAGGCTCTGCAGGTTCTCAAAAAAGATCATTTGAAAGATATATTATAAGGGATATCTAATTTTAATCATCTCATCAAGATCAGCTTTTTGCTCTCTTCGTTTCATTATCGAAATGTGACACTTTCATGTCGTAAAATATCAGAATTCTGACATAAACGAAATAAAAAGTTGTAGCAATTATAAGCATAATTGTGTTTTACATTAGAAATATGTAAAAAAAAAGATATATCTGTACCGGTAAGGCTGTCTTTCAGTGAACCATCTGTGATATAATATTCATAGACCAACATATATATATTCACCGTGATCGAAGCAGCAGAAACCAACTAACTGACAACGTTTTTGTGATGAACCCTCGAGAGAAGCTCGATCAATCTCATTTTTGAACTCCACGCCGCCCGGCGTTGTTCTTTTGTTGTTCTTTTAATGGCTACGTACCTACCAGTTGTCCATTGGGTAGAGTTCCTCTGTCTTGTATACCTGAGAGAGAGAGAGAGAGAGAGAGAGAGAGAGAGAGAGAGAGAGAGAGAGAGAGAGAGAGAGAGATGCCACAAATTAATGTTGACAAGCATGCAACCAAAACATAACAGCAGTCAAGTTGAGTCAAATGCTTGCAGTGAACAAGCACTGAAATCATGTAGTAATAGATATGTATGAGTAAATGTTCATTTAATGCTATATATATATATTGAGCAAAGATAATTATAAGATGGTTTAGGAGTACTGAAGTAAGTATCTAGGAAGGACCGGTAAAAAAGACTGGTTCGCCAGTGGGCCGTACGTGATCACGGACCGTACGGCCCGAGCCGCATCTGGTGCCAAAACTAAAAAAATAAAATAAAAATTATTTAAATTGTAAAAAAAAAAAAATTACTTTGCTATAGAGAAGAATGCTTTGCCGAGTCCATAGGATTTTTTGATATTTTTTCGAAATTTTTTTGAAACTCGAATCGCTCGTTGAAGTTTTAAGAATTTAGAGGGAGAGAAAGTATGAGAGATTAGAGAGATAGGGCTGAAGGTAAAATTGTAAAAGGGGACGTGAATAGCGATTTCCCGTAGGATGTATTAATTTAATACATCTAATCCCAAGCAAACGAGTCCTAAATGGGGTTAGCTTTGCGATTGAATACATGATTTTTTGAAAAATTTTGTGTCGCTTAAAAAATATGAGACGAAAATGTTTATAAAAAAAAATTAAAATATTGAATCAATATAAAATCAACTGTAACGATGAAATACTTTCATCATGAAAGTATATGTAATGTATAAAAAATGAACTATTATTTAATAGGAATTGATAGTCATATATATGTAGGTGGATGAATAGTATTTATTGAAATAAATATATAATGATATTTATGTTATTTTAGTTGTATTAATAGAATTGTAGAGAAAAAAAAAATAGATGAAATTGATTTTTTTTTTCCAATTTATATTTTTTAGACTAACAAAATCAATCGTTAGATCACCTATCTATGACAGTTACATGATGATTTAACGGTTACAAATTCCGACGAAATAATTATGTAACAGAACTTTAACATTTTCCACTTATTCTATGTAGAAAAATAAAATCATTGCAAAAAAAAAAAAAAAAAAAAACCATGAATGCAAAATGATGGTCCCACCAGCGAACTCCCTTTGAAACCAGTCCATTTTCCTCTTTTACCCCCCAACCCGCCACAAAATCACAAATCAGCCCCAATTTCATTTTCAAATTTTCGAAACTCCCCAAGCCCTAATCCCCAAATTCGATTCCCTCAACAGACAAAATCGACGCCAAAAGATATAATGGCAGCCCGATCCCGGAACGAAGACGCTTTAGACCTCGTAGAAGCTGCTGAAGAAGATGAGGTGCTGAAGCTGGAAGAAGAAGTTCAGCAAATGGCTCAGAAGATATTCGAATATCGAGCCATACTTCCCGATCAGTTCAGCTCAACTCTCCGCTCTGTGCTCGCCTCAGGGAAACCCGTTTTAATGACCCGTTTAGATGATGAAGGGACCGGGCCAGCAACCCCTGTGCTGCCCTGGCTGGATTCAGAAGCCGGCGTCTGCCGAGGTTCGGTGTTTTGCTATTTTTGCTTCCGTTTCTTATTTCCTTCTTTTTAAAAGTTTCAGAAAATTTAGAACTAATGAATTGATGGTGGTTTTTCTTTTCTGCTGCTATTGTGAGCTAAATCACATGTTTGAGAGGTATTTGGTATCATATTTTTTTGGGTGTTTGTTTCTGTTTTCGTTTTATGATGCTTGCTTACATATTCGTTGAAGTTCTCGTCTGGAATTTGCATGTTAAACTTGCGTGCTCAAATGTGAAATCGATAACGATAGTCATCTTGTACACTGGACACATGTCAATCATATTTGCGAACTCATATCGGCCGTATATATATGGTTTCCCATTGGTGGGTGGGTTTGATAGCTATGAAATATGGTTACCCGTTGGTGGGGTGTGTTAAGGAATCAAGCATTGTGAAATCCTCTGAATGGATCTGATTGTCTGAGACAGGGTAATGAACAGTAAATGTAGTTTTGTGGATTTGAAAAATGGTGCTTTAAGTTCTCTTATAATTCAACAGTCTATAAGATATTTTACACGATAAGCTGTAGCTTGGTTCTAGTCAAGGATACTTCGTGCAGGGACTCATTTTTTTCTTCTCCTTTATGCAGATAAAGAATGGGTTACTTTAATTTGAGATTTGTAGTTCAAATTCTCCATAAGCTTTTGTTTGTATGCATCATCTCTCGGGTCAAATCACAAAGACGACCCATGTGGTTCAGCTTGAATACAAAAGGTGCAGTCTGCTTTACAAAAATAAACTGAACCCTTGGGCCTTGACCGAGCAGGCAAATTGGCATGTCATGAAGGGGTATTTTTTAGGTAGCAAATATGTGTCCAATTTAAAATGACTTGCCACGGACTAATTCATTGTGCATGACTTTTGCTACCAACTTTGGCACTCTATAACTAGGTCAGTAGTGTCAATCAAAAACTGAAATAGTTATCTCTGCTTTAGGTGGCATATCTGCTTGTCTGCGCTGAAGAAGCTGGTTGATATTTTTCCCTAATTGCTTCTCGAGAACACCCTTCCCTCCACTTGTATTTTTTTGCGTGTTTGAAAATTTGTTAATATTTTTGGATTGCCAGGATTCAAATCTTCTGTTTTGAAAAAGAAAATGATTAGGAACCTGTTGATCCATGTTTCATTGCTACTGCACATATATTAGTGCCTTTTCTATCCTTGTGATTGTATATTAGAATTTTGCAGCTTCTCTGAACTTTTTCTTTTGCAGGTCTTAGGAGGGAGAACACGGAATTACCGGTCGCAGAGGATATGGAAGAAGATGACAAAATTCAACTCCTACAGCAAAAGATCTCGAGTAATACTGTTGTTCTGCCTGCCGTGTTGAACAGGATGAAAGAGTATATGGCCAGAATAGATAAATTAGAATCGTCCGACTTAATCATCCACCCTGCTTTTAAAAGGAAATCAACCGGTTGATTGACTTCCCCCGGTTTTTTTATTTTTATTTTCTTCCTAAAAAAAGGGGGGAATCGATGCTATGCTCGATTGCAGCACTTTAGATGTTCATCTTTGAGCTAGATGAAGTAGATGGAATAGCTACTAACATAACAATAGAAATTTGAAGTTGTGTTGGTGCTGGCTTTGTAATCATTGATTGAGAAGCACCTATTCGTTGTGTAGTGAAAATCACAAATTGATGTTTTTGTCATAAAAATTGGTTGCTGGCTCGTATTTATGGAGAAGCACTTATTTGTGTATTGAAAATGACAGAAGTGATGTTTTTAGAAGTTCATAAATTTTATTTTTTTCAGTATAATGTAATTTTTTTTAAATATCTCAAATTTAGAAGTCTTAAAATTTCACTTAGAATGCTAGCTAACTTACAGATTTAAGATTTCTAAAGGTTTCAGTAAAATTTAAAATTTTAAAAAAAAAATATATCAAATTTAAAAGTTTATAAAATTTCATTTAGAATTTCAAATGAATACTTATAATTTAATTTCATCTGTGTTATGATGAATTAATGTATACTGATATAGTGGGAATCTAAACAGCAAACCACAAAGTTTGATGTGAACATTACATCGGGAATTAATATGATTTCTATATATATCCCACAAATTATTTGTTTGGGTTTAATGATTATAAAAATTAAAAACTAATCACACTAAATTCGAATCACACTCCTCTGCTAAAATGGCGACATTTCTCTCGGCCACCATGAACGTTTACAATTTCGACTGGCCGCCCGAAGCTGGTGGTTCTCTGGCTCTCCTCAATAAGCCCTCTTGAGTCACTGAAACAACAAGCTGACAGTAGCAAGCTTATTAAAATATTGATATATATATCTATATATATAGATATATATATATATCATATTATATATATATTAGAATTCCAATATATAGGTTACTATTACTATACCCGAAAATATAAGTATCATTTGTTACCTCTCCTTTCACAGTAAACATTTGTCCGCAAACAAAACCTCGCGCGCTATGAGCACTTGGACTATCAATCTGCGAGAGAATGATTTATTAAGCCGAAAAAAAAAGAAAGAAAGAAAAATAAGATTTCATTAGGAAATTGTAAAATGAGTTATAGCTTCTCACCACAAATAGAAGCCAGTCGTCAGCCCTAAACGGCCTGTGAAACCACATCCTGAAAGTAGAGAACATTGCTATGTTATTATACAAGTGCATTCTTCTTATTACAAAATCGAATCTTAAGAACACAGAGAAACCACCAAGCACATCATGTTCCACTTGTATTCAATGAGTCATACATGTGAGTATAGAGGATTAATCTATACTATTATAAAAGAGCCAATGAATCTGTAAAAATATGATATGCCTACAATACCCTTACTTTTTCAAATATATAATGTCAAATTTGTAATTTAATGACCAATTCTATACTAATATTTTTAATTATTAACTAATATAATAATGATTTTTTTTTTTTTGGTACAAATAATGATTTAAATACCTAACTAAACATAAACACATTCTAGCGACCTGTCCTCAACTTGCGTCCGTTAATATAGTTCAATTATTGAACACAATATAAATTGATTAGAAAAAATAAAAATGCTAACTAATATCGATTTTTATTTTTGTTATACTATAAATCTATGAATTATGTACACTACATAGTTTAGTTACAAAGTGTCTTTCATTAAAGTAAAGTTTAATAATATTTTTATCAAGAAAGTCAAATTTTAAAAAGAAAGAAAAACTTATAAACTGAAATATAATGATAAAAATTAAGAACGATGACGAACATTAAAAAATTTAAATGCAAAGACATTGCCAAATAAATGGATACTTATTGCTAAAGATATCTTTTATATTTGATATATTTATAATAATAATATAGTAATTACAACGATTATTATAAGATATTAATATAATTTACAGTAAAATTTTAAGTATGAATAATAACAAATAAAATCCAGTTAACAAAAAGTAATATATTATACAATACATCAACTTTGAACAGAGCTATAAAAATTATTTTATGAAATAACTTTTTCTACATAAACTATTTTCAATATCTTAAACTTTATTTTTAATCTTTATGAAACAGATATATAATTACATGAATGATATACGAGAATGTAACATAAAGAAAGATACAATTTATTTAACAACAATAACAACAACATTAATAATATATTGATTTATTTTATAAATATATTATTTATATTTGGTTAATTTGTATATAATTGTTTTACAGTCTTAATTTTTTTTTTTTTTTTTATAATTAGTTCATTATTTTTTTAAAAAAACATGATACTTAACCCTTTTAATGTTGTCAAAATTTTGATTTTAAAATACATGATACTTAACCCTTTTAATGTTGTATATATATTTAATTGGAATATTTACACACACATGTGTGTGTTACTATATTCATTCAAACCCCTATGACATGATTTAAATTTAATGAATATATTATAATGATCTATGACATTTTTTGACAATTGTGCAAGATGTAAGTTATTTTAGTACCATATAAATTAGATAATCATATATTGTGCTCTTTGAAGAAACAATAGACTTTCATTTATATATATAACTACAATTCTTTCAAACACATATGACATGATTTAACTTATTTAATTATATTGTATAGATTAAGTCTAAATAGTGTATGCATAATGCAACTAATATACTTGAAAGTGTAAGGATTCACTCAGAATTTTTTCTGACATCTTCTGACTACTGTGCAAGTTTAAACAATGTGAGTTCCAAATAATTTAGATAATCATATGTTGCTCTCTTTGAAATAATGGACTTTCAATAAACATTAAGAGGTTATAATGTGTATGAATTAATATTCTTAGAGAAAATATATTAAAAATAAGTAAAAGTAACTATATATCCATACTTTAAGAGTATTTATATGTATATAATTTGAAATTAGTAAAAAATAAAAAAAGTAATCAAAACCAGAAATCTATCCTAAAATCACATTATGAATGAGACTATAACAACTATTTTAGTTTTTGGTTATGTATTCTGAGCGATGGTCTGGACTGACTATTAGGATTTTTTTTATAGGCTTGATAAAATCATAGAAAATAACATCGCATTATATGACATAGTTAAAATTTTGTTCACGCTTATATGTGTATATATGTGTGTGTATATATATATAATTTGATCATATAGTATTATGGTCCATCTGCATCAAGTATTGGAGAAAATTTTTAAGGTTTATAGTTATGAACTTCAGATTATACATAAGAGTCCACCACACATTAATTGGTCGATATTTCACACAAGTTATTCAATTACAATTTTGTGAGCATTAAATGTGACTTGAAGATCAAAACTATCGTTCATTCACTTCATTGTATATGATATGACACTTTTAATTTAATCAATTTATTTCTTAATTGAAAATCAAAATATAATTTACCAAAAAAAATATTTTCAATCTTTTTAAATTGTTGTTTTAAGATTATTGAAATATAAATAAGATTGTGCACCATATTTTTGTAATGGCTCATGAATCATATAAAATAATATTTGAACAGAAAGAAAAAACCGACCAAAATTGAATTTTAATATAAATTTATAACTCTTGAAAATAACTATAAATAATTAGATTAAGTGACAAAAAATTCAAATGAAAATTATGTCACTGGCAAAAGGGAAGGTAATATGAATAATATTTAAAAACTTTGCTAAAATATATGAATTGAATCATAATTGATTTAATTAGCCAATAAAAATAAGATAATGAATGGTCGTCTACAGGATAAGAAGACAAATGTAAACTATCGTATGCAATTGTTTTACTGTGCGTAATTTTTAAACTTTCCCAAATAATTGTTTTTGGAATAAAAAAGACTAACTTAGATAATGAAGGTTTGTCAACCAAATTTTTCATGCAACTTTTTTTACCATGAATTTTAAATATTAATATTTTGAAATTTGTTTTTCAACTTTCAATAAACTTGACGCAATTGATCATGTAATGTACTTTTTTGTTTGATTAATTTAAAATAATAATGCAAAAAACTGAACCGGCCATAAAATATATAACATAAAATCCTCCCTATATAATTCCCGAATGTGTTGAGCCTACGTGGCTGCTTCTGGTGCTTCGGAATCCTATTTGGCGAAGAATCATGCTTCGTAATTAGCTTTGGACAAATAAAAATGATATATTAATAATTAATAATCTAGGTTGGGGTTTTCATAAATATTATTTAGCTAACTTATGTATTTTAATATCACTTTTACTAATATAACCCTTTAATTCTTTGTAATTTTACATAGTGAGACACTAAGTTACTAATATATCCCTGAATTTTGATTTGTTTCCTTCAATAAGCTATTGAATTATAAATGTATTTTAAAAGTTGATAACATTTATATTTCTTATCGGTTTTACATATATAATATATCAAATTATTCATCGTTTGATGATCTTTGATTTGACATCCATATTATATATATGAAAAATAAATTATATTTATTAAAATTCATTAGAAAAATAAAATTATTTCTCAATTGATATATTTATATGTAATGTAGTTATATATTGTAAGTTAAAAAAATAATATAATATAACACAAGTAAGTCGCACAAATAAAAAGTGTCATAATAAATATATAATTAATAATATATATATTCTTATAAAATGTATTTAAATTTCTAAACTACTTTTTCTTATTAATTTTAGATTTTAAGAAAAAAAAATTAGCAAGCACCCGTATAATACACGGGTGTTGTACTAATATAATTAAAAATCACATTAAAATAGAAATTAGGTATCACGTGCATTGCACGTGCACTTTACTAGTTACACAAAAAGTACTCTTGAGGTCTAGTCTAACAGAACAGATTTGTTTTCATCTTACGAATATTGCATCCTCAATACTCAATAGGGAGATTCTTCGTCAACAAAATACAAACCTAAAGGCAGTGTTAATAGTGTAAGGGGTGTTATCTATATTTTTCATAGGTAGAAGGTATATTTTATGCAACCAGGTCCTCAAGTTTTAGGTTTTAGTGGACAATCTAAAAGAAAATGGTCATTTGCCAGGCACCACTTCAAAGCAGGCAGAGGAAGGTGTGAACTCTGAGTGTATCAGATATGAACATTATCGCCACACATGAACAAAATTCCCAAGTGAGCTTTAAACAGTGACCCACTAATAGGGCTGACATTAATATTAGCACAAGATAACAATGAGTTCACTTTTTAAAAGCAGCTGCCTATCATTCAGATTATGTTCATTAATGCAAACAATTATTTGAGCTGATTGGTGCAAATGGAAAAGTTACTTGGTACAGAGAGGGGGGGGAGGGGGAGAGAGAGGCTATTGTAATGTTAAGAATAGGGATACTCACGAGTGATCTAGGCTGACAGAAGACGACTTCAAACCCTTTTCACGATGAGGATTCAGACTGATTTGGAGAAACATTAGATCAGAAGCATATGCCACAACGCATCTGCACAAAAATTCAAGAATTTATGTTGGTAAAAGTCATAATTGTTGCAAAGCCTAGACAAGTACCAATATAGAATATACCAGTTGTAGAAACAATACTAATTTGATACTTTTCATACAAGTTGCTACACTAGAAAAAAAGGGAAGGCCAAGAAGGCATATATGCTAATGCTCCCATTTTTAAAAACACAAACTATTGTTAGCATTCCAATGTTCATAGGAAACAAAGTATGCTCTATTGATACATACAAGTCAATGGGCCCAAATGCAACTAACTTGTAAGACCGATATGGAGACCCCAGGAATATGAAAGTGTCATGACTCATTTCTGCAGATACAAAACCAATCCTATTAAAGGACCCGTCTGTATTCACCTTGCTCCACCCCGAATCAGGCGGGATCCACTACACTGGTGCACTTAAAAAATGTGTTGTCTTCTGGGGAATATCTCAATGACCGGAATAGTTTGAAATTGAAGATAAATAGATCTAGCTTTATTGCTTACCTATGCAAAGCCTGATCATCTGAAAGAGTTCCCTTCGCTCTAAACCAGTATCTTAAACTGTCGAGCATATGAAGATGCATATAAAGAAAAAATGAGAAACTCGTCAAGTCTAACAAGATAAATACAGTGGATAATAAGGAGAAGGCGTGAAACCTTGGAGGAGACTTTGTCTGGTTGGTGGATGTATTAGGTGCACAGAACCTTATCTCTACGGGCCAAGGGACAAATTTTGCACTAGCAACCTTGTTTCGATATGTCCTGAAGAAAGTAAAAGACTACAATCAAAACAATTTTAATTCGCAAGTATTGCACATATCCTACCAGATACTCAACTCCAGTTAATAAGCAGAGATCAATCTAAGTAAGAGTAAACTATAGATATTGAGTCACTGAAGTATGAAAAGTTGTTAGCAGAAATGAAGTATCCTGTATCCTACATAAAGAAAATCAGTTTAGTTTGAAAAACGTATAACAGGATTAAACTACTAAGCATATGGTAAACGTCAAGTCCATTGAACCACATGTAAGTACTAAAATTTTAATTGAAGATTAAAGTAGTAATAGTCGAACCTGGGAAGGCGAGGATCAGTAAGACGCCTTTCTCTCAACTCTTCCAGTGATAAAAGCTAAACAGGGATAATAATCTTACGTCAAATGATGAAAAAATCGAATTGTACATTTACTGTTGTACAGTATGTTCAGAACCTCTTCTGGAGCAGGCATGGAAGGCATTGTTGGCACCTGGTGTATGAATCCTGCTTCTTCTTTCTGCAAAGATTTAATGTGCAATTGAGCCATAAAGTCTTAGCATGCAGAAATTTCAAAAAGGATGCACTACCTATGGCATTTGAACTCTAATTTCAAGTGAGAATCCTCTAATAAATGCACATCGTAATAAACTTAATTTTCAGAGTTAACTTTGCAGGAATAGCAACAAATCCTATAATAAATACTTGTTTGATTCAGTCCCATTAGTGAACATTTATTAGTTGATAAAAATGAAATAAAATTGGAGTTGATGTTTCCAATGAATTCAGATTGGCCCTAAAGGGAGTTCCTTAATTTTAATGAACCAACAAATTACAGAGAACTACATCCTTTTTAAACTTTTATAGCGTGTTTCTTGTATGTAAAGCCAACCAAAAGGTTACATAAGGTAAACTTTATTGACAACACAAGTTTGCTTTTATGAAATTCCTGAGTAATTTATTTTAGTATGGATTTGTTACCTTATTTCTCAGTACTCTAAACGAAGAGATAAAACGATAGCCTTTAACCTAGGACTATTTTTGGTTAAAACACTAAATCTATGCAGCACCTTAAGATAACAGATCTTTGACCAAAATAGAATCAATTTAAGCTCGACAGAATTACTTGAAAAGATGCCGTCAAAGTAAACACGATATTTCCCTTCTGTACAGCCTCTACCCTTCGGGTGGCAAAGCTTTTTCCATCACGAACACGATGCACTTGATAGATTATTGGAACTGAAATAATTATAATCCGTGAATTCAAAGTAAAATACGTTGTTTATGTTAGATGCATCTTCAAACAAACCATGCAAGTAAAACGATAGCAGAGAAACAATGAAAGTCCTTTCAAGTCCGTGATACTATTCCATTTTAGTCTTCAATCTTCCGTGCCTTCTAATGAATGTAAAAGCTTCTAAATGTAGCAGTGCGAATACACAGCACAAGTTAAAACTGATCTAATTCAATATGCCAAGTACCGTAAAGTAGTCTATCTTTGCATGAAAGAGAACATATCAACAGCAAGAAACAGTAAATCATCATTTCAGTAGGTAAGTATTCTCTTCAAGGTAAACAGAAAATAGATTAGTACAAACAATCAACAGAAGCTGTTAATCTCTTTAACTAAATTATCAATTCCTGAGACTAACTCAAAGCAACTTGTATGTTGATACTTGCTCGCTCTTATATTTCATGTAGTTAGAGGCAGCAACTAACTGATCATATAGAGATCGTTCTTCGGACACCTGGAGGATCAAATATAGAGGAAGCACAATTAATTTGATTATTAGATTGTTTTTAAACATTTCTCATATGGACTTTTGGATGCAAAAGTCCATTTGGATAATTAATTCATGTTTGGTGTTATTAAGAATGGACTTATGGATAGGTAGGTACTTCAAAAGTCCATTCTGTAGAAGTAAATGATGGGGACCTTTGGAGAAGTTCACTTCAATGACCGCGATCAAGTTTTGACCAGATCATAACTTCAACGACGTGGACGTTTTGGCTGAATATTAAGTATTATATAGAACTGATATGCAAGACACATTGGCGATCAATTCTGATTTTTTTAAGTACATAACAAAAATTATTTGAGGAAACTCATTAATAAGAGAAACTTACTGTCAAAATCACCAACAAGAAGGAAATATGCATGTAAACTGTGAACAATCTTTAGACAGTCAACAGTTTTACACGCTGCTGCAAGTGCCTGCACGCATTTGCAAATGTGGACATCAGTTTGAAAGAGCCCCGGTTATAGAAATGCTTACGAGGTATTGGATGAATGAGAATAACACTGAATGGGTTTCCAGATCCAATGAACCAAGCAAGATACATGAACAAGCATGTTATCATGCGAAGAATTTATCATCGATTTCATTTTATTCCTTTATGTGATATACAAATAAATAATTCTATAAGCAATAACAATTACATACCTGCCCAACAAATTGCCCTCCGAACACTTTCCCAAATTTTGGAGCTTCAGGCAATGTAATACCCTTAAAAATGTTAACCTACAATTGAACCACCGATCACCGTTTTATAAAACAGGTATAAAAAAATACCCGCGTGATAAATATGAAGCTAGATATCTGAAAAGTTTAGGCAAAAAGAAAAGAAGCATAGAGAATAAAATCGCATTAAGTGAGATTTCATCTTACAAAAGCATCTCACGGAAGATAGGATAGTCTAGAACATGAAGTTAAATTTTAAGAAAACTAATTGCTCATATAGATGAACAAAATAAAGTCTCCCGAGGGAACCACTAGTTCATTTTCTAGACATTAAGAGCAAAATTGATTTTTCTTTAATAATAAAAAAATACAAAGATGATAAAAACAAAGAAGCCTTGCACACACCAACCTTCCAGTACTAACTTTATTAAACAACCCTTCTCACTTGATCTCTTTATTATCATGGAAAAAAGACTCAATCTAAATCTCAGCTACATTAAGGAAAGTGCAGAAACATTTAAAAAGTGCATTACAAACAAATACAATTTGCACATGAATGTATACCAAGGCCAAAATTTCACAGAAGTTTAAAACATAAAATATTAAAATGATAAAAGTAACTAATTTTCTTGGTACATACATCGACAGGATCTAAGTGTAGAATTTGCTCCACAAGTGGCCGTTTCTCCTGAGTCTCGTCGGCGCTCCAAATTGATTTGGGTTTTAGAAGATCTTCGTGCTCCTTAGGAAGGATCAAGCAAGTAAGCTGCCATCATAGGAAAATGCATCAGAAGCTTACACTGTTACGTGCGTACAGATTGACAATCAGTAATATAAAGTTGCCTACGAAAGTATTGTACTCAAGAGAACACGAGCACCTTAGACAATGCAACCACATCTGCCGGTTGAGTAGAGTATGCTATACCTGCAGCAAATCTAAGCCTTACTATATGTTCTTAGAGCAGTACCCAGAAGATGCATGCAATCAATTCTTCTGGACTGTCAAAAGACCTTAAGAGTATGCATAAGGCAATGTGTAATATTATAATTACTCATTATAATAATAACTAAAGCAGGCCAAGAGCAGTATATAGACACGCAAATTGCATTTTCTAGTCAAAGAAATAGGTTCTTAGCACACGGGAAGAAAACAAAAAACAGACCACAGGCTCTACAAGAATATCAACACTATATCCAAATGGATGAAATGGAAGTTCGTGATAAATAAATTAATTAAGACTAAGCATCTAACCATGGCCAAAATAATCGTATGGCTTTAACAGAAACTCAGGGCTATTTTCATCATGTGCATCAAAGGACCCACAGACTTGAGCCTACAAAGACACAAAGCTACAGTAACCAACCTAACCATCATCAGAAGCACAAATCTCATTAATTGTCAAATTAACAGGGTAAAACTTACCTCGCCCTCCCAGATGAAGTAAATCCCATCCGCAACTTCTCCTTCACGAACTACATAATCTCCTTGCCCTTGATTATTGTACACAAAGAAGATCATATGGTGAATAGAAATTATTAATGCATAGACATTGCAACTCCTAGTCACAATCTTGTACAAATGAGGTACAAAATATAATGGTTCGGTAGCTCCGTAAATCAAACAATCCCACACGCATTCGGCACTTCGCAAAGACCACCAGTTTCCAATCAATTCACTAAGCTCAACAGGAGTCGAGTGCTTAAAATGTAGCCAAGCTAGTAGCTCAATTCATTACCGAGAACCGACACTAGTTTGATTACAGCTAGTCTAAAACAAAGGTAGAACCATCTAATAGTAATCAACAAAACAGAAAAAAACATAAAATTGCAGCAAAAGTTTACCGTAGCGTTTGACTGAGACAGCTTGAGCGATCTTCTTCAGAGACGAGCTGGGAAGCCTCTGGAGTAACGGCACACACCCCAAAAACTCCATCACTGCAAATTCAAAAAGATAATTGAACAAAATCATGATTATTACACCCAAAAACAAGAAAAATGAAAAAAAAGGAAAAATATAGAAGAACGAATGAGAAAACTAGGGTTTGAAAATGAGTCGAAGCTGGACCTGATCCGAAATCCATGGCTACGGGACTTGGGTGATAATCGCCTTCTCAGTGATGAACTCCAGCGAGCTGAGCATTGATAGCAAAACCGATTTTTCGTTATCGGACATTAAAACAGCTCGTGTCCTGAATGTGGGCCGTTGGATGTGATTCGAGTAAAGTGTTATCTTAAATACGCGACTTTTTTTTTTGGGTACAAATGAAGAAGGCAAGAGGCCTAAAACGACTAGACTAACACTCTACAAGGGTAAGACACCACGCTAGTGTCATGATCCCAAGCTCCTAGACCCGGGAGGGGTGACGAAAAACGTTGCAATCCTAACGGGGATGAAGCCGCGAGTCCCGCCATATGACCTGCCGCATAATTCGTCTCTCGATGCACATGTTAAATTTGAATATGCCAGTCCCTTTGAACCAAGTCCGTAATAGCACAGACTATGGCATCATGAACCCCGAAATTCTTGCCGGATCCATTGATCATTTTGGCCACGCATTGGCTATCAATCTCTGCTATAAACTGTCAGAATCATTGGTCCCAGGCCATCTGTAGGCCCTGAAATAGCCCCTAAAGTTCGGCGCCCGTTATGGTGTTGAAGCCGATATTCCTGATGAATCCCTCAATCCATCTCCCTAGCTCGTCTCGAATTAAATCTCCCGCCCCGCTCAGGCCCGTAGTGTTATCGAAGGACCCATCTGTATTTACCTTGATCCAACCCGGGTCAGGGGGTTTCCAATGTATCATACGTACCACATAACTTTCAGCGCCTACACGTCTGTAGGCTTCACAGGCTCTGGCATACGTCTCCATGTTACGTGACCTCCATCCTCCTATTTTCATAGGTCAGTGAGCGATTATTAAAAGTACGTGGTCATTCCTCCACCTCCACGAATTCCACGCGGTAAAAGAGAAGAGACTGCTCCAGTCCTTGTACAGTCATACTCACAAAGTCGAAAGATTACTATGTAACCAGGTTTGAAGGGGTTGGTGGAAGAACTCGCCGAACTTTCATGTCGGGATCAAAAGGGACCATAGGCGCATTGTGCACGGGAAGTCCCGCAAAACGTGTAGCATCGACTCCACCGCGCCACACTCCTCACACATCGCCGAACTTGAGATATGGCGCCGAACCCGTTCCATATTGGTCATTAACCGATCCTTGGCCGCCACCAAAGAAAAGTACGGACCTTTTGCGGTGCTGATGTACGCCACACCAACTTCCAAAGCGTGCAGTCCGGGTCACTCTCCGAAGGTTTCAGGGCCTGGTATGCCGTTCTCGTGGAGAAAGTGTCGTCCTGTGACGGGCCCCACATAATGCGATCTTCCCCGGCCGTGGCTCGCGGTGCAAGAGTACCAACAATGCGCATAATAATAGTCGACGAGAGCATCCCATGAAACGCTGCCCAATTCCAGTTACCTATCTCATCTACGAACGCCGCGACCGTGGAGTTAACACTGCTCTCCTCTGGTCGGCGAGTCGCATGGTATATAAGTGGGCCAACCGTACCCAACCAAGGATCGAGCCAAAATCGTGTCGTTGCACCATTACCCAAACTCCAACGAACCTGCTTTACAATATCTGGCCGCACTTTACCTAGTGCTCGCATTAATGACGACCCATGCTTGCATCGAGTGGTGCTCAGTCCGTGCGAGAGGTTGATGCCATATTTGGCTATCAATAATCTCGCCCATAGAGAGTCGCGATTCGTTAAAATCCCCCAACCTAATTTCATCAAGAGGGCGTGGTTCATCCGGAGCATATCCTTAATGCCCAAGCCTCTAGAGAGTCTTACATACGTCCCTCCAGGCTACCAATGAATTTTCTGCCTCTCGTCTGAGCCTCCCCATACGAAGGACCGACTTCTACGCTCAAATCCTTCAGTAAGCACACTCGGCAATAGAACGGATTTCAAGGAAAAATAGGGCAACGAGTTTAGTACTAACTGGGTGAGGGTCATGTTTGTCCCATTTTTGTTGTATTTTTTGAGCTTGTTTTGCTTTTCTTTTTCTCCCGTTTTAAGTTATTTCTTTCTTTTTAGTCCGTTTCGTCTTTTATTATGTGTTTTTGTTCATTTTAATCTTTAAATGTTTTTCGTTTGTTTTTCCGGTCTTTTTTTGTGTTTTGTTGTTTTTTGTGTGTAGGTCGAGAGCTTCGGGCGAACTTTATCTTCAGTAAAAGTTGGTTTCAAGAGTATAATTGAATAGAGGGGTTCGTTGGCTACGCGTAGGAAAAAACGGTACTCAATTCCGAGTTCGAACGAGTTCAAACGAGCCCAAAACGCGAAGTGGCGCAGCCAGACCTTAGCGGCGCTAAGGGGTTAGCGGCGCTAACCCCTGCGCGACCAGATTTTATAAATCTCGTTTTTTTCTCGATTTTTTGAATGCCTTTCATTGGGACTCGTTCCCAGCACCGAAAAAACACCTCAAAACTCACCTTTATCAGTTTTTCACCCAAATACACTTGAATCTTCATCATGGATTGATCTTGGAGAGTGACACTCCGAGGTTTGTTTCTTGTTTTTGGGTTTGCTGTGCTTTGGATTTGACCTTGGCTTCTATATTAATCGTAAGCATTAATTGTCGTTTAATCTATGGGATTGATGATATATATTGATATGGTGCTTTGTGTTGAATTCATTATGCGTAGCTAAATTCGATTGCTAGGGATAAGAGATGATTGTTCTTGTTTAACGTGTATTTGTCGGGTTTGATTTGTTCATTCTTGTGTGAGTTGATTTAATTCAGAATTGTTGAATTCTTGTTCGATTGATTGATATAATCGAAGAGTGACACTTCGGTCTTGCAATTGGTGACAATTGAATGTTAATTTGTCGAGTCAGGGCTTGATGATTCTAAATGATTAGTTGATTAAACACCTTCTAATTGAATTAGCGACTGTTAGAACCGAAAGGGGATAAGTCGTAGACCTAGGCTCACATGAGGTAGATGATTTTGTAAATGAATAGTCTATAGGTTTTGGATTGAAAAACGTGCTTGTCGATGACCCGTCCCTTGTTACGAAAAGTTATTGGGATTGGGATAATTGACATGTTTTGTATGCTCGAGCTTGTTCGTCTATGTTCAATTCCTTGTTACGAAGAGTTATTGGGAGCGAACCGCTAGATGTTTAAGAGAGAGTGTCAATCTAGAATAGAACAATTGATAGCCCGACTTTGCTAGAACTTGGATTAATTATCCCCGATTCCCTAGCTTTTCCATCTTTGTTTCGTTTATATTTTAGGTAGATTATTTGTTTTTATATTATTTCTTAGTTGGTAATTTTCCCCCCCTATTTGACTAAAGTGTTTAGGTTTTATTTTCTTTTTATGTGTGATCTATACTAAAGCTGAATTCCGAACAGCCTTCCTCGTGAGATCGACCCGGGGAAAGAATCTTTCGATGCGGTACTCGGTAAAAATAACAATTTGAACTCCCCCACACTTAGACCTTTGTTCGTCCCGAACAAAGAAAAAGAAAAGAAGACAAACAAATGAGCATGGACACGATTTCAAACAAGACTAATCTCAAACCAGTCAATCAAGTCGATAAGAATTCCAATGATCATAATAGCAAACCTCAACTATTAACTTGGTTATTTCGAAAAACAAGGACTATCAAGTACGAAAATATATCATATGCCTCACTCAATCTCTTTCGCAAATATGAGATAGGTACGCTCAAGCTGGTCATCAATCAAATCAATCATAAGTTTGCCTATTATCTAACTTTTACTCTAAAACAATCAAGTTCGTGAAACAATGAATCAAGAGGACTTCTAGGGGTGAAATGTAGGCTCTTTGGATCAGGTAGGATACATATAGGTCAAGTGACTCAAATAAAAACAAATTCAACTCAATTCCATCACCCAACCGTGATCATGAACACCTCCAGTTACCAAACACTAACCGGTTCCTCCCGACTAACTCCAACACCAACACACTTCCCAAACAATTATTCAAACATCATTTTTTTTTCATTTTTTTTTTTGTTTTTTTTTTTAGGATAACCTTTTGGACAATTTATCTAGGTTTAGCCTTCGGGTTTTCTGCCCGAGTCTCCTAGACCGGTTTTCCGTACTCATTGCTCGTTTCCACTTACATTAGCGGTCAAGCACTTGGAGTAAAATCCATTCGGCCTCCATTTTTCTTTTTTTTTTTCATTTTTTTTTTGGTTAAAACTCAACAATCACCACCTCCATTAAACAAATCATCAATCCTCAACATCATCATACGAGGTTATCAAGGAAAAATATCAACAAGGCTCAAAAGGGTGACTAGTGAGAATTATTTACTGAGAAAAAGAAAAGGGAAGAAAATACAAGGAACGCCTCAATCCTTTTCATGTTTCACAAACTCAGTCAATTCGTTTCAAAGTAGACTTAAGGCAAATTCTAACTGAATAAATTTCAGACCAACATCTCACAAGAAACAAGTATGGCTCAAGCCTCACAAGGTAAATAATGTCAATCAAAACAACCAAGCAATTCATCGAGATATGCCACCAATTCTCATCATCACAACTACTCAACTCAATCGACAGTCATTAACCAATCTTGCCATACACCATAGTCCAAGCTCAAAAAGACACAACAAAATCCTAAAACTAGACTGGTCCACCACATAAGCATGCAAAATCCAATTGGACTCCCCCACACTAAAAATGAGGCAATGACCTCATTGCTTCAACACATAACCGGAAAGTCAAATAAGGACCTAGCAATTTCATATAATGAGCCAAACTAGCAGCTATCACGAGACACAAACTCAAAAGAAAAGACAAAAGAAAAGAACTCAAAAAGAGAAAAAGGAAAAGGGTGTGCAAACCGAAATGCCTCGAGGAGAACACATTTACGTACAAGTCGCCCCCTATGCTTAGCGCCGCCCTCAATTTCCCTGAGAAGACAAACCACAAGAAACTCCAAAACTCCCATAATTCAAACATAAAAACTAATAATGCATAAAGAAAAATAACAAAGAAAGCAATAAATTTCACTTGGATTGCCTCCCAAGAAGCGCTCGTT